TCTGGTCAGCACTTTGGGGATGAGAGACATTTAACCAAGAGGAGAACTTGGGGTTCCATGTTTGAACATAACTCTCATTTATTGACTTGTTGCTTGGTGAGCCTTAAAAATTTCAATTGAGCTTTATATATACAACTAGTTTGTCCATTTCTGCGAGATCATGAAGTATGCCTTCTACCACTTTCTATCCAGCCTATCCTTCTGACCCTTAGAACAGAAGAGAAGGTAGATTTTAACACTTTTCCTTGATTCCTGTATCGTCGTTATCATCATAAGTACCCTTAACAAACGAGCAGCCACAATGAGGCCCAGAACTGGATACATTTCAGCACAAAAGGAATTCATGGCCAAGGGCTTTGCCCCGTGGCAGTAAAAGCAGACATACAAGTGTCAGGGGAACCACTGCCGAAGGACCCGGCCACGAGCGCTGTTTGCAGGCTGGCACGCTGCCTGGGAGCCAGAGGCCTCGGAACCTCAAGTAACTGACTGCCCCCTGGGAGTCAGTAATTTGATGTCCTTATTTCAACATTCCTGTTTTTCAGTTTTCACTTACACTTTTTTCAGCCCAAGATGAAACCCACCCAGTCGGAAGAGGGCAACCTTGAGGAATGTTGACAACCCCAAACCAAGCAGCATTGGGAAGATGATAACAGGACATTAATGGCTATTTTAGTTATTTGCACTAATCAATGCTCTCATTAGTATATTATTTCCTCTATTGAATTGGTATAACCTGCAAGCAAAGAATTGAATGTCTGTGATGCATGACAAGTGTTGTTTTTAGATGTAGGAAGGAATAGGTAGAAGGAAAAGCTTATATATAGAAATGAAGATTTTAGGAATAGCATGAAAAAAAGAAAAAGAGAGGAACTCGAACCCAGATCTGGGCATGCTTTTCTCCCCACCCCTTCCTATCCCCTCTCCAGTGCCAAGCACGTTGCCTCAGGGGGATGTGTGGTTTCCACTTCTGCATCCAGGTCATAAGAATGTCCCAGAAGGAGTTTTTGGCACTCCTAATGATTGGAAAGAAAGTTCCAAGAGGCTCTGCCATTTCCACATTGGAAGAGGATTGCTCTGTTAGAACCAGATAGTGGGAACCAGGCTGGAGACAATTTTAATAACCACACAACAGCCAGTGCTCATTATGGAGCACTCAGTATGTGCCTGACACTCTGCTAAATACTTTGTAGCATTATTTTACTTTATCCTCTCAACAATCCACATACTCTTACATCTGACAGAGAAGTGTGACTTGCCAAGGTTTCTCAGCTAGTAAGTGGCAGAGCCAGGACACAAACACTAGTCTTTCTAATTCCAAAACCTGCAATTTTAACCCAGTTGCTCAACCTGCTCAGCATTAAATCAGAGAGCACTCAGTAAGTACTTCATAGAGAAAACAAGACTCCAAATGCACTTGAAGCTCTTCCACCTTTGAAAACAAAACAAAACAGAATAAATACTTCAGTTTAGTTTATTGCCTCCTTATTTGCGTCTTTCATTCTGTTCTCTCTAGATTTTTTTTTTTTTAGGTGAAGCTACCCTTGATTGACCTCACAGATTGCAAGGACCTTGTCAGCTTACAGTCCCTTGCTTTTTTATTTTTTTACGACTACAGCACCTGGTCTTCCTAGGTGGTCTCCCATCCAAGTACTAACCAGGCCTGACCCTGCTTAGCTTCTGAGATCTCTAGATTTTTAATACCATTTCTTTCACTAACCGGCTGTCTAAATATGGATAAATAATTAGTTCTCTGATGTTCAGTGTCTCCATCCCAAAGATGAAGAGGCGGATGGAGTGAGAGATGATCCTAAGGTCACTACCAGTAAGACCATTATAAGCCGTCCACCTCCTTGGCTGGCTTTGCCTCCTCTAGCAGAATGAACAGGTCATAGACTGTAGAATCAGGCAGACCTGATTTCAAATCTCGCCTAGTGAACACACCTGGCCTTGTCCTTCTGATGACAGGTATGTCTCAGGCCCTCAGTTCAGAAGTTGTCCCCCCACAAGCTGACGGGCAGCTCATGCATACGTGTGCATTCTCTAGTATTTGTTTAACATTTCACTTCTGCCTCCCTTCTCCCAGCATCCGCCTGCTCTTCTGCCATCTGAGTGCCCTGACTGGGCCATCCTCTAGGCCATGGAGAATGAGCTGCCAGTTCCCCACACATCTAGCAGCGCCAGTGTCAGCAGCAGCGCCAGTGGGGTCAGTGGCAGCAGTGGCGGAAGCGGCCGCCCCACTGGGCCCCAGATTTCTGT